ACCAAAACTTTCCGCGAAGACTACTAAGGTTCTTAGGAACTCGGTAATACAGATGATTTGGAAGCTTCCTCGATGGTGGCCTCGGACGGACTCTGAGAAATCTTAGATACCTATTACGATAATTCCACGTTACAGGTACCATCCTTGGAGTTTAGTATTAGGGAATTACGAGGTCTTGACAAGGCAATGCGAACAATGCGGGGAGAACTCATCAATAATACAGCCAAGATATCCGAACTCAACAATCATATAGCTTACGAGAAAACAAAACTTGATGAGGCGGGTGATGATGAGTTCAGAAGACGCCGAGTAGAGGAAAGATTGCGTAACTTAGAAGATGAAAGATCGGCCCGCCTCGAAGCAGCTTCCAGTAATAGAAAGGCACTTTGTTCGCAAATCAGTCGTTTTCGAGAAACTATCGATCAAGTCCTCAACGATGACACTACACTGGCCAATAAAATTAAAACATTGTTCAGAGAACAGGGAATAACAATTGCCAGTATTTTAACCGCGTTGGGATTTATTATATCGACTTTGACTCTCACGTTAACAGGTGGCACAGGTGGTACAGGTGGTGGCGGATCACCTCCTAGTGATAAAAATGGTATAAAAGAGTGGATAAAAAAGCATTTAAAAGCATTAGGATCAGCACTGGGAAAGCTCGCTGAGAAAGCCGCGGCCGCACTTCCCGGTATAATAGGGAGTGTTGTTTCCTGGCTATTGAATTTATTAGCTAAGACCACCACTTGGCTTAGTCAAAACTTGTGGGGGTTGATCGTAGCAATTGCAGGGCTGTTGTACGTGTTCACTAAGAACTATTGAACCAAGTCAGTTCGCTAAGAACTATTTAACCAAATCAGTTCGCTAACCAAATCATGAGTAAACCAACCGCGACTCCACCCACTACAAGCGCTGTTTTTTCATCGATATGTTGTTGATTTTTAGTCTCATTATGCGGTGACACTTGTGGTTGTGCGTTAGTAGATGTGTTAGCGATAGTTGGTGTCTATGGCTTGACTATTCCCTTTTCACCCGTGATTGTTTGCGTTATTAATTCGACATTAATATCTGAATTTATACCTGGTTTTTGTTGATCGGTAGCGATAACAATTTTATTATTATAGCATATCACTTGACCGATCTTAAGTTCCATATTACTCGGAGACATGTATAGTCCCGGCGCATAAACGTAGTCCACTTTGGATTGAGCGTACTGTAATGCATCTTGAAAACGTTTTATAGACGATGGTATGTCAACTTGTGAATTAATGGCGTCCTCCACGTTTGCGACAAACTGTTTTTGCGCATCGAACGCCGTCCCAGTACCGATGATTCCCGTTCGTGTTTGCGATTGCGCACCGAGAATTGCCCACACATAAGTTCTTATCGATTCATTAAATCTTACAAATCCTGGGTTAGTAAAATTATTTTACGTTTTATCATTAAGAAATTCATTCCAAGCGTCATCGTTCAGTTGTACAAATTTTTTAACAATATAAATTAACCCACTCTTAAAACTCATAATATCCCCTCTCCAATCGTTACTATAAAGTTCCCAGCCTTTATACCAATGACCGGTTTTTAGATGATGATCATACATTCTTGCGTAAAGTTTGCTGTCCTGCCGCAACTTACCAAAATAAACTGGAAGTTTATTAAGTGCTTTATATACATAATTGCTTTCTTCTTTGACGGATATATTTTCCTCTGTGTAAGGAACACCTAGACCATGGTTTGCTCCTTTAATACGCCAATCATTACTCGTAGAAACATTAAATTCCTGACAAATACGCTCATACGCGGACCTATCATAATTATTATTTATGGAATTCCACGCTCGATCCTGCGGTAATGGAGCATTAATTTCTTTAAGTATACGTCTAATCTGATAATACACGTGAAATAATATAACAGACTTATTTAGCATATATCCTGGAGCATTAACAGATACACCACATCCCGTTGTGGCACACCATACGGCAAAGTTTAACTGATTCTGCCAAAATTGCATCGGATTGTGAAACCAATCGTGGATCATTTTATCGCTAGTTGCCGTGACCCTGTACTTTTCAAAGATATCAGGTAATTTAACGAAAAAATCATCACCATAGGAATTTACCATAATCGATAGATTAGTAATCTGTCTCGATTTCATATTTAAGTTATGATATAGTATCATTGTATATTTAATATGTATGTTACACTCCCGGGAATAACAAATGGCCAGTCTATTCAACTGCTTCGTACTATCGATAACTCGGATGGTCAGCTCGAAGTCGCTCTATGCGATGTAACGTATTACCCACTGTGGACCAATATAAGTGCTGCAAAAAATAATAATAGGATAATACTAATGACTATATATGGTATTATTATCAAACGCATTACTATACCTGATGGGTATTACAGCGTAAGCTCACTCAATGATGAAATTTTAAAGCCTAATGGAGTTAGTCTCTCACAATATGAGGCGACTGGGACAGTGAAAATAGACCATGGAAATCCACCTATAATTGTAATAGAACAACCAGGTACATTGGAATTTAGTCGCTTAATTGGCACATATCCTGATGGAGATACATTGCCCGATTTAGTTCCCTATAAGGAGTTGTGCATCCATCTTGATCAAATAAGCACGACAAATAAAATTCAACTAGAAAGTCCTTCAACTCTTACTCAGATCTGTTCCAGTGAAAAATGAAAAATATAATAGCGGTAGAACGGAATCTTTCTCGTCATTACAATATAAAAAAATGAAGCATGGTATTATTTCAGACCTCAAAATTTCTGTATCAGATGTAAAACACCAACCAGTACATATAGGATACTTAAGTGTAACACTCCATATTGTAAATAATGGTTGATGCATCAGGCCCTGGAACGCTCAGACAATGTAATACAATTGCGCTTTCCGATCTCGGAGACACGGAAGGATTCGATAAACCCGGTAACAATGGTAAGTTATACGCTTTACACTTACACGATAATGTATACAAGCGGAAAGAAGTTACATTCACAGGTAATCTAGAAGATTTAAGCGATGTCGACGTTAGTAGACTCATTAAAAACACTTCGTACAATATTATTCTCAACGGCGAGAATAAATTGACTATGGTCGAAGCAAACATCGAATGGCTACTGAATATCGTCATTACCCCACCTTATGTGATGATGGGTAAGGGACATAATTTAACTAAGATAATAAATAGTGGCATCGTACTCGCGGCTTATATCCCGTCAAAGCGAAAAAGTGTGTTAGTCACTCCCCTGCCAGAAAACCCAGGTCATATGTTATATAGTCGTCCGGCAATCCAAAACGTTAGTTTAAATTTGGTTACTGAATTCGATGATATTAAACAGAACTTGAGTGCAATACCTAATATTTCCATGCTTATTATTGAAGTCTTGTTCGGAGATGCACCGGAAAATGCCTTTGAAATATTACCAGGTCTATCGATTAAATGGCTAAAGAAACACCAACGTTGACGTTGTAGCAGCTAGCATGGGACTCGGTGTAGCCGGTGTCGGTTTATTATCAACTATAATCGCCGCGCCTATCGTGCTCGGTATGGAAATAGCCGCTGGAGTCTCGGGACTGGCAGGAATAGCGATAAAATTCATTTCTCGTTGGTTACAAAAGAAAGCATTAATACACGATAGTATTCGGGTACTCGCCGAAGCAAAGTTGAACAGCATTGAGGATCATATTTCGACAGCAATGGTCGATTGTAAGATATCGGAGGAGGAGTTTCGTTTAGTGTTGTCAGAACTCACCAAATACAATAAAATGAAGCAGGAGATTCGATCAAAATCTCATAAAACCAATGGTATTAGTGAAGACGAGAAAAAAAAGTTCATAGAACAGGGGAGGCAACAGGCGCGTCAATTATTCCGTGCCAAAACCAAAGAACTGGTTGGAGATTAAAAATAGATTGCTTACTATCGTTTGATCACATTTAGACAAATGCTTACATAAATATATATAATAATGGAGAAAGCTTTTAAATGGAGAGAATTACCACAAGGTTTTTATTATATCAGTGATGTCAAACCAACCAAATACGGTTATCAATTGTTTCGTATCAATTTACAAGAAGAGTGTAGTTATATAGTCTGGTCTCCTAGTAAAATGAACGAAGAACTTAATAGAAATGTTGAATATCGCTTTATCGATAAAAATAATGAAGAATATTTTTATTACCATTTAGGCTCATCTAAAGCAATGATTGGCCCCAGGTATTGGTGAGCTAGAGCCAATTTAAGTTAATCTCATGACTATCGTTGAATCGCAACATCATTTTGGCATAAAAAATGCCACCTGTAGTAGCAGTATAGGTATATGAATCCGGCTCCAGTGGAGTTGCGGCAGAACCCCCATTACCTATACTACTATCCAAGTTAGAATTGATCTTCGGCAACCCGTGCTTGTCATAAGAGGCGATTAACTGGATTGGGTGGATTGGCTCAGTGATTGGTTGATGCATGTAATCATGTCCCGATATGCGCAGATCGATGCCTATGATCTCAATCACTGGATTGTTTGGTCCAAACTCAATTATTTAGAGACCTCTGTCATATATCTTGAATATTGCTGAGTGTGGCATGAACAACAAACACAATTGTTTTATATTTTTAATGTATTACAACACTCTAAACTACTCACAAGGTGATATGTTTTTAACACAAATAACATGACTGGTATTGACTATCAAACAGTTTGTGAACATTCATCAATCACTTGTTCGTTAACTACTGATGAAAATGTGCCCCTTTTCCCAAAGGCTGTTTGTGTGCAATAACTAGTCCTCCACAATGAATACTTGCCCACCACTCAAGATTGCAAGTATAAGTAATGTTCCTGATACCAGCATTGAAGACTCACTTGTTTCATTTGCAATTTGTTAATAGATATGTATTTGATGGGTGTAACTGCATATTTGAATGAATATTTAATTTTTCCCATACTGGTACTTTGATTTTCATCTTTTCACTTATTTCAGCTCGATGGAATCACATTGAAAACTTGGATGACTTCTTCAATCGTGTTTACCATTATCATCAGCGCCATGGATTCCTGTGTATGGTACTGGAAGAAATTCTACAACTTGTGTAAGAATGATAATATTTTTGCAAACCATTTAGTAAGTTTTTGTATATTTAAGCAGCCCTATGTACATTCGGATGCTTTAAGGTTTTTTAAGCATGTATATTATCACAGCATATTTTGTTTTTGAAGCCATGCTGTGCTTGGACATCTCAGAGATGTGTCAGAATGTGTTTATCTCTGTTGTAGCCATGGAACATTTGTTTGGCACGTTGATATTTCAATCCTAAGGTCACAGCCAGAAAATTTGTGCCATTAAATTTTCCATAGGCATGAAGATCGAAGCGGGAAGAACAGGAAAACATGAAAAGTTTTTGGATATCTACTTCTATATTGTTTTGTAATGATGTTTTAAGGCTACTGCTTGCCCTTTCATGAGGTGAATACTGAGTAAGCATATGGTTGAGAAAAATTAAATTGGTTCTCAGCCAATGGCTTTTGAAAATATTGTGTGGTGTTTTTTTATGTTCAAGCTAGTATGATGTTCAAATGAGCATTTAACCAAATGTTCTTTTCAATAATTTCCGCAAAATGATGTTATTCTTAAATATTCACTGCTGGGGGCATGTGTTTGAAATGGGGAATATTTAAAAAAGAAATTAAAAAAACTTTTTTTGTTATTTTTTTTGGTGAAAATGGAAATAAAAATGAGATGTGCAGTAGACATTATGATGAGGTGGGCGCAGCCTGAAAACCAAGATGTTTTGTTTTGTTAAGCCTATGCAAGTTAATGTATGTATGGGGGGGCACAGGTGGCCACAGTTGTCTAAGGCGCCGTGATTCGCTGTGCAGAGTTGTGTCGCTTGGGCACGCCAGAAACCTATGATTGTTGGTTCGAATCCCAGTTCGCCCCAATTACGTTTCTAGGTTTGTCAGCACCATACCTGTGCTTATGGGTTTCACCGAAGTGGAAAACGTCTGAGACCTGCATCACTTCGAACTTTCCTCCCACATTAAGCAGACATGCCATGATATAACTGGAATAATGTTAAAAGCGGTGTTAAACCCAACTCACTCACTAATGTATGTACATGCTTGGTGATATGTTTAAACAGGGTAGGGTTAATGTACAAATATAACAATATGATGTGGAAGGCAATGGTATTCATGAGAGAGAAACCAATTAAGCCACAGCAGCGTTAGAAACTAACTGACAGTTTTTGACCATAGATCCCAGTAGATAACATATAGCAAAACCCTTTAAAAGAGCAAACTTCTGATGGTCCTTATGATACAACTATTCGGCAGTTTAGCAAGGACTGTAGGACTTGTGCCAATTTCTATGGGATGAGTAAGTGTGATAACAAAGAACTAGTTTGAATTTTTGCATTGAAATTATCGTATTTAGCCTTAGTTTACCAACCTCTTAGGGCTCAATTCCCAAACAAATAGTTGTGACCATCAGCAGCGACACAAGCAATTCTGATGAGGGCTGTGACATTAGTGAGTCAGATTGTGTTTAAATTATGAGACTCTTATGGTGTCATTCCCTGTACCATTGTGTAACACATGTGCGTTTGCGCTGTTCCTCCTACCATTGTGCATCCCTCCATTCAAGATGTCAACTTGTACACATAACACAATATCATTAAAATCAGATCTTAGTTCTCGCTATTGCTAAACAAAGATCTGAGGACATCCCATTAAGGGTCATGTCAGAACGACCTTTCATCCAACCAATCAGAGCGTCCCTTACCAGATCATGAAAGTGACAGTCGGAATGAGTTTTCTAATCATGCAACCATGAAATATTTAACACGGGGTATTCCGAACGACAGTTTCGGGTTTTATGATTATATCCATACAAGCTAGGCCATCTATAAGCCATTCCAGAATTTTATTCTTATCAGTTTTAATTTTTTTAATCGAGAATACGTCAAAATATGTTTCGAAGCGAAGTTGCCAGTTTGAAACTAGTGTCGTAAAGCTCGAGAAAGCTGCCTTCTGATTGGCTAATGTAGATTTCTTGTCAGTCATTTCATTGGTCGGTCAAAATTCGCGAAAAGTCACTCTTACGTGACCTGTAATGGGATGTCCTCAGATCTTTGTTTAGCGGTAGCGAGAACTAAGATCTGATTTTAATGAGATTGACTCATAACAATGATAGTTTCTTAAACAACTTTTTCCAGTGATGGGAATAAAACTAACAAACAGCAGATATTGTTGGGTACAGGGTATTCATTGCCATGTACCCTATTGACATTTAATTGACTATTCCCAATTTGGAGTTATATGGCATTTCATCGTTCTCATTTCAAGCCAAACGGACTGTACTTCTTGGGATTACTGGATTCAATCATCTTCTTTCTCTCAGTCTGATATTCAAGCTTTGATGCAGGACCGTTATCAAAAGTAGCTTGCATCCAGACATGACAATCTATCCAAGTGTTGCTTCTATAGGAGTATGATCGCTTTCACCAAGGACTCACTCAAGCTGACGTTGAACCTACACCAAATGTTCAACCACGTGAATTGGAGGACAACACAGATCGGCACCTACAGGATTCAGAGATTCATAATGCACTGATCTCCGTTGTGCAAATTAATAAGCAAGCTACACTCACTTCCACAGTGTTTACTGCGACACACTTCACAGGGATTCGGCAATCTCAATCCGTGTTCAATGTTCAGCCTTGGACCGATCAGAAAATTGATTAGGGCGTCACAGGGAGGTGATAAACTATCTCTCTGTTTGACGGGAATACAGGATTGTTAACCAGGCGACGAACCCCGAGGATTGGAAGAGGTTCAATGATCAACCAGGGATCATCAGTGAACAACATTATGTTTGAAGAGCTTCCTCTGGAGTCTTAGCTACGATTAGTCTTAACAACTTACGTTCAAAGATAAAATATCTCAAGTTTAAAATAAGATACATTTTCGAAACTATCGTAAACCTGTCGCAGATCACACAAAGATATGATAGCTATATCGTAACTCTGACAGAGAACTCATTTGTGTAAGAGATTGAAAAAATGGGGTGTTTCCTTATGATGTCACGGGGATTTCCCAGCCGATGACAATAACAACATGGAGAAGTGACACAAAATTCAAGATCACATTGTCAGGTCACATTGTTTAACACGCAACTATTTGAGTGAAATTCCGTACAATCCTACATATGTCCAAGATGTAGAGCTTTGTCCTTATGATAAAAGATGCCGCGAGTACTCGACCACAAATAGCACTCGTGTTCTATACAAAGACATTTTTCAAACCCAATAAATAATATAATCAATAAGTGTATAGCTATTAGATATGAAATAAAGTGCAAAAAGATACTTCAATATTTCCCTTAAAATGGAGCTTGCAGAACTTTATGTGAACACATTGCGTACAAAGTCAAGGTCAAAAGTAAGGGACCTTATCCTAAATGCCAATGACTAGACAAGACCTTTGATCAAACAGCAGGTGTTCAGCGTTTAAGATGCGTGTTCAAGTCTGATGTTAAGTGATATATACTGGGTCTATCTAGATCCATAATTCTTTTCAATATTTAAAAGTGACACTAATTTCTGTTCCCAAAGAGAGATAATGTTAGAATTTTCTTCAAGTTATGTTGTCTCATGGAACACGCCACAATTTAACGTGAACACACATATAATGTAGTCTTTTTTTATCCTTTTAAATTAAGTAGAGCTAATAAACTGATTTGACTGACTTCATTTCAATCTGGCTGAGGGGTGAAATACATTGTAAATGTGTCAAATCTATTCCAGAATGTAGATCGATGATGTTTGGCTTGTCTGACAGCATTGCTGAGGACCATTTACTAGTATTTGTCTGTTTAACCTATACTTAACAACGATTTTATTGTTTGAAAGGGTCTCAAGTATCTATATTTTTTTAACATAAAACATGTAAATGAACACTTATCAATTGTTATTTTGGAATCGGTTTACTGAATGCAAAATTCAAAGATTATTGTGTTGAAAATGTCTATTTTTTATTTGTCTGTTATTAATCAAAGCAGGATATGCAAAATGGAATATATACAAGCCATGCAGTAGTCTGTTGTGTGGGTCATCTACAACTCCACCCCGGTTAAACGACTGATTGTCCATAACGCTAATGAATTATTTGGACCCCAAAGCAATAACTGTATTTTTCCCTGAATATAATAAATAATACATCAACTGCTTGCTTGTTGTATTTGTAACTAAATATTCGTATTCGACACGCTATATTCGTGATATGTATCGTACTTGCCTCATGATGTATTCTTTGCAGCCCTATTGTCTACGAGTTTGGCAAGACTGCAGTATTCCACGCTCAAGTGCATGGATGTATATCAAGGCTGATTTGTGAATCATGTATCAGGACTTTCTCTGATTTGAAAACAAACCTGCTTATTCTGGAATCAGGACAGACTGACCTAATGCGAGCCTTTTGGTGCGCTTTATATGTGGTATGCATAACTGTGTTGATGTGATGAGGAGCCTGATGATAATATTTTTTTTTATCATAGTGTCAGTGTCGCTAGCTCCCAGTTGGGCTTCGATGACAACACGTGGAGGTGTTCACACCTTTTTGTTGATGCCCAAACATAAGAATCGAGAGTGCATCTATTGGATCACTAAGTGGCCGAGTGTTGGTCTGCAGACGAACAAACACTGCACATCAACAACCTGGAATTACAACACCCATGGTTATAGAATCTATTGCCTCTTCACCAGAACAAAACGTCATCGTCAGCTCTACCCTAATGGGATAGGTTATCAGTGGAACTACACCGTGGTTATTCACCCGCATCACGGAACCTATTACTCATTTTCGTCACAGCCGAAGGATCGTGTTGAAGATCTTCATCGACAAATGCATTCAAGCACATACCAACCCGATGGTATTCAAGAAGCAGCTGTTGTTTGCCTGGATATTATTGCATCAGATGGGATGGCTGGTCAACTTCAAGGATTTGGAGACAATCCCCACACAACACCTCCAGTTCATCGGAGCAAGGCGGGTAGGATGTTCATTCCGCAGGACGGGGGGACAAAGATACAGA